GAAGATTTGAAAGATTAATTCAGAAATATCAGGGGAAAAAATTATAAATGCCACCAGCGAGAAAGTTTTGAGCTCCTGTTCCATCCCGTTTTCTCCTCATGGAATGTTTTTGGACAACTGTTCCAAAGTGTCTGTGAGGCATAAAGGGACCATGCACAGGACATTATTGCCCATAGTCAAGGTGCAGTGCAAAGGACCCTATCAAAATCAGGTGCTTTGTGGAGGGGCTTTCCTAGGTTGAAGCGTGATGCATTCTTTTGTCTTTTTACCAGTTGCAGCTACTCTACCTTCCCCACATCCCCTCCAGTTTAGTTCTAAGTGATGCAAAGACTATTAGGACTGATTCTTCTGACATTTGCATCAGCCATGATATTGCCACACCAAAGGGCGGCTCATCACACCTCTGCCAAGGGCTGTTTCAATGCCCTTGGGGTGAGATGAGTATCAGGGAACAGGAGGTAGAGAAATTGGTGAGAGACTGAGCTGAGGCAAGGTTGTGCAAAGCAGTGTGGAGTTCACAGGGTGCTTAACAAAGAGGCATTGATTGGAGGCTTGCTGTTGTGACAGAGCTCACTAGTGCCTGGAGATCATTTCCAGAGCTTTCTGTGTGGGGGAGCAAGAACCAGATTTGCAAGTGTGGGAGCCTCAATGGAACAGCACCTCCCGGGCTTTTAGGAGAGAGGGTTTTCAGCTCCAAGAGCCACCAGCTGCCCCTTAGTCTGCTCCCTCGCCAGTGCCCCTCACAGCCAGGCGGTCCAGACCTTTCTTCCCAGCCTATTCCGCAGGGCACCATGAGTTCTGCAAAGTGCCCCCAAGGCCTTGCGTGACCTAGTAAATATCTGGGTTTGGGATCATGGGGAAAGGTATCAACACAAACCACTTCAGAGGCCAAGGTGGAGGAGTAGGATCTCAGAGGTCTCCACTAATGAGGTCTTGGCACCAGCATGTCTTTGGCACTCAGCTGGGCCTTTTTTACTGCTCTTGGTCCTCAACACAAAATAACACCAAAAAAACCTAATGAGTACAACACAACTCGGCAAGCTTCAACCTATACGGCTAATCCTTCCTCGTGCACTGTCTGCCCTCTGGGAGGTGTCAGAGTGGATAGGTGGGCACTGGGAGATCTGGCGTAGGAACTGCAAATGGCAGGATGTATCCCAAGCCTTTTCTCTGCCATAGCGACCACACACATCATTCAGGAAAGAAAAAAGCAAGGCGAACCCCAGCACTGCACATGCACGCACGCATCCTGCTTAATATGTTCAAGCCTCTCCAGAGGCTGATTAGTGATTTTATTTTCTCCTCCTCTCCCGGCCTTACGCGTTCGTTGCCATCAATTATCTATGCATTTGCCCTGATGAATTATTGAGTGTGCAACAGGGTGAGGGAAGACCCACCATCCCAGCTCAGTCGCCTCGCAAACAAAAGCTCCCCAGAGCGTGACAGCAGCGAGCGTGCAGCTAGCTTGCCCTCTGGCATCTCATTTAGGATGGGGAGCACGGGAAGCTGATCCAGCAACTTGCAAAACCCCTTTACTCCATCTGTTCCCCTTCCTCATCATTCCTGTTGAGGTGTGGGTGCTATTGCCGCGGTACGGAGCAGAGCAATGGGAGCATTATTTTCCTGATGAGGGGCTTGGAGGAGCAGAACATGAAGAGTTTACCCTGTCTTGCGAAAGAGCCGTGAGTTACTCAGTCACCTGGAAAGGAAGCTCGATTTCCGCACAGTGTTTGGGTTTTTTTTGGTGTAGTTTTGTTTGGTTTGTTTTGTTATTTCTTCTGCTGTTTAGTTGGGGTTTTTTTATTCCTTTTCCCCTGAAGCCTCTAGAAAGTTTGGAATGTGTTTTTGTTAAAGCTGCTACATGTAGGGGCCTGAATCCCAGCGTTGGCAGCGTTTGCTTGTTGGCAAGCGGTCTTCAACTGGCACCGGCCTTTTCCCTAGCCGAAAGTCTGCCTCTTCACACCTGGGCAGAGAAGGGTTCTGCTGGACCATTCTGGGGTCTGGTTCGTCAGCACCAAAGTCTGCTTTTTCTCCAGTTTGTGTCCAAGAACAATGCGCACTGATTCATGGATCCCATGGCAGGGTTAGGGGTAGAACTGGGGATGGTTATTACCACACAAGGTCAAGAAAGATCACCTGATTTTTAAAAGGGTCATTCATTAATTTGCAGAGAAATAGCGTAAAGGCCGGGCATAGTAATGCTGAAGTAAGGGATTGGACTGATCTCTCTCTTGTGACATGTCCCACAGTTCTCTGTCAGCTTAGCTGACAGTATCTTATTGAAGAAGCACGTTTTAGGTGCCCATCCTTGGGCAGTGGTGGCCTTCAGCCTGGCATAGCCTCCTGCGTGCAGTGCTCCTTGTCCCCACACCCTGCTAGGGAGACACCGGGCTGTCCTCCCAGCTGCCGTGAAGTGCAACTGAGGAGAAGCTGGTGGCTTTCCGTTCTCTCTTCTCCAGGGTTTGGCTCATCTCTCGCTTTTCTGGCACTGCGGGGGGGTGCTGGGCCACGACTTCCTGCTGTCGCGAATGGGGCCTCTTTTATTGGGATGTCGAAAGCCTGGTTCAAAGGGATCCGCTGAGGCCTGGGGGGGTCAGGGAGCTTGTGTGGGAGCAGAGCCAGATGTGCCATCGCCCCAGCCCCGGGCAGGCTCTGCTTGGGGGCATGGGCCCTTCATGAAAGAGGTGGGGACCGGTACTCATGAATCCGCTCTACTCCAGCCTTGGGAGAAAGAGGGAGTGCTGAGCTCACCTACAGCCAGGCAGCGTGAGATGGGCGGCAGGTTGTTCCCAGGGCCTTTGCTACGTGATAGCTTTTGCTCTCTGGCAAGCTCCCACACGCTTTGCGAGGCTCTCAAGACTTCAGAAGCCAGACTGCTTGGCAGAGCTGTTGCTCACCTCCGCAGGTGTGGGCAATGCTGCAAGAGGCTCTCTCACCTCCGGGGTAGAAGGAGCAGCATATGCTGCAAAGCATGTGGGAGACATCTCTCCCTCTCCTCATCCACCCGTTTTTGCCTCAAATCCTGGCATAGCATTATCTAAAGCCAACCCTGCTCGGCACTCAGTGCCCTCATTTCATCAGGAAGGCTGCTGTGGGTCACGGGGTCTCACAGGGAAGAGGACAGTCTGGTGTCAGAAAAGTCTTTCACTGTGTCTTACTGCCTGGACGTCCTTCTCCAGGTGGCCAGTGCCTCTGGTTGGCATGGAGAAACATGGTCGAACTGTGACTTTATCAGAGCAGGAACATCCTTCCCCTCTAGTTTCTGCAACCTACATGGCAAAAATGTCCCGGCTACACTGAGAGAGGGAAAGTGCGACCCTTCCAGCTTGGCCGACAGCCTCTAAGGACTCATGCATGCAGGCACATGAGGGCACCAGTGCTTTGCTGTGGCTGTAAGCAGCACTGAAAAACATTCCTCAGCACCCAGCCGCAATGCTAGGGTGTGGGGCAAACCAGCGCTTGACTCAGGGAAGGGGGCAAGTTCACACAAAGCTCTAGAGTCTGAGTTTCGGTCTTAATTGATGATGACTGTGGTCAGCGGATGGCGTCTCATGGCCAGGCTGGATTGTTGAGGCTTGTCCTCAGGGTCACAGGCTTGGCGTGGAGGGAAGGAGAAGGGGAGAAAGATGAGCCTTAGATGGGACATGGGGACTAAGATCAGGCTGAGTAGAGGAGGCATGGGGTGAGGAGACAGCATGGGAGCATGCCGGGAGAACGGTACGGGTGGTGTTTGTGGGTGAAAAGACTTTTGAGGGCCTGTGCTTGTGTGTGTGTGAAGCTGCAGGAAGGAGACCACTCTTACTCTACTTCATGTGTAGAAATCACAGTGCACATCTGCCAGGGGTCTGTGGGGGCTAAAACTGAGGAGTTCATGTTGGCCTTGCATGGGGAGCCTGTTAGTCCCCTGGAAGAATGGGGTAGGCATGACATTTCAGAAATGCTCTGTCCCCTGAGTTAGAAGATGTGGTCCTGTTTCTCTTGCTATGCATTTTTTTCTTTCCCCAGCTTCTCTCTCTTTCATTACCCTTTCATGTTCCTCAGTCTTTGTACATCTTTCTAGTTTTTATTACCCCTTTCTTTCCTTTACTCTCAGTCTCCCAGAATACACCCAATTTCAGATTCTGCCAGAAGCAGCGAGCAAAACCCGCTTTTCTTGTTCTCACCACCTTGCTTCTCTATTGTATTTATTATATAAATACTGGCTGTATAATTGCCAGAGCATTATCTCTAAACATGCAGATTAGGTCAGTCTGGTGGGAGACATTTCTCTCCAGCTGTCAGGGGAAGAATCAACTGAGACAGAATAGAAGTCATGAACACCAGCCACCACTTTTCCCAAGTGCCTTTCATCTTTACTCCGCAGAATCAAGATGGAAAGTTCCTAAATGCAGCCACTTGTGGGGTTAAAAAACGGCTGCAGAAATGCTCTAGATCGTGCAGGTAGATCGTGAAAGGTGTACGGGCACTGCTGTAAATCTATTCTTATATGAGAACTATTGCTACGCTGAAATTGGGGCTGAGTCTTTGCAGCTCATTTAATTACCGATGCATTTTCAGTAGGATTAAATGGATGTCTGAGTGCATGTTACCATATGCTTGGGTATGTTCTGCTGATAAATATCTGTGCTTTCATATGCCTCCAGATACGCGTGCTCTGTGTATTTACAACAACTGATTTAGTGTCATCCAGAGTTGAAGACAAAAGGAAGGAATGTATTATTGACCCAACCTTTTGGTGATCATAAGCCCTAGGTTGTCTGCAGAGCATTAAGGCAGGTTCCAGTGAAATGTGAACATCAGTTGTGGGAGGGGAGGTGTTTATGAACAGGAATGAAGCTGCAGATATGTGCAGGTAGTTGCAGAAGGTACCAAGAGCCTGAATCCTTAGAGTGTTCTTGTATCAGCAATGCCAAGAAGAAACAAATGGAATAAATAAAGGAGTTCATGGGCCTGATGTCCAAGAACCATTCTTTCTCTGTCTGAGAAGCACATGTATATTCATGTCTTTCCATTTTATTGCAGGGCTGCAAGCTCAGACTGTCTTAGTCAATGACACAGTCTCGGGGTTTATCGGGACAGACGTGGTCCTGCACTGCAGCTTCACCAATCCGCTCCCCAATGTGAAGATCACGCAGGTCACGTGGCAAAAAGCCACCAACGGCTCCAAGCAGAATGTGGCCATCTACAACCCTGCCATGGGGGTGTCCATCCTCTCTCCGTACAAAGAGCGGGTGACTTTCCGGAACCCTTCCTTCAAAGATGGCACCATTCAGCTCTCTCGGCTAGAACTGGAGGATGAGGGAGTTTACATCTGTGAGTTTGCTACCTTCCCAACTGGCAACCGAGAAGGTCAACTGAACCTCACTGTTCTGGGTAAGATACTGAACAAGCTCCGTGGTGTGAACCATTGCTTCTGGTTTAACAGATCTGGAGGAACCTGAGAAGTCAGGGCAAAAGTGAATCTTAGGTGTAAATTTTATCTATGGTGATCTTTCAAGATGACTTTAAAAAGTGACTGGTGAAGAGCAGGGAACTGAGGGTAGGTGGGTCACTGAGCTATCTCAGGAACACCTCTTTCTCCTTCCAGTCCTCAGTTCCCCTGTCTCTTCATGCAGGCGCAATAACAGCGACCTGTTCCCAAAAGGAGTGGGGAGTTTTAATGCACTGGTGGCTGTCAAGTGAACAGAGACAACAGAGAGATCCTAAGCACAAACAGAGTTTGTCTGTGGAGCAACACTAAGGTTGTGGATGAATAGACCTCACCCAAGGTCTACACGATTCATTTGTTCTTCAATTTTGGTTTCTCATTCTAACATAGGGCTGAAAACCTATGGTAGGAGAGGATTGACTTTCCGTCATGTATCTGTTCATCTAGGGCACCTCCAGCATTCTTTCCCCAGAGTAGGTTGCTGGCAATTTGCAGCAGTTCTGGATTCACCACAAGGTCTGTCACAGGCTCAGTGGTGCTAGATGTCTCTTGGGTTATAGTAGAGAGAGTAGCATTTCTTTTCTAATCATCCTTTTGTACTCTTGCCCCTTCTTCTCCTTTTTGAAATTCCTTGCAGCCAAGCCCACAAATCGGATGGAGGGCACCAAGCGGCCACTTATCGCGAAGTCTGGCAGGACAGAAAAGATCTTGGTAGCTACCTGCACCTCCTCTAATGGGAAGCCCCCCAGCACTGTCACCTGGGACACCAAGCTCAAAGGGGAAGCGGAGTTTCAGGAGATCCGGAATAGCAATGGCACTATCACAGTCATCAGCCGGTACCGGCTGGGGGGGGGGCCAGCAGCTCATGTGTGTAGTCAACTACCAGCTGGACCGCTTCACTGACAGCATGACCCTCAACGTGCAGTGTAAGTGAGCTTGGGCAGGGCTGGAGAGCAGTGCTCTGTGGTCAGTCCCTGGGGTGGGTGATCAAGTCTGGCAAAAGAGGATTTTTCTGAAGGGAAGATGTTGGTCTGGTGGAGGGGTTGAAGTCGGGGGCTGCTCTCTTTTTCTGGAGAGTGAAAACTGAAGTTATCTGTTGGAATAATCATATGCTTTCTCTTTTTCACACCGTCTTTCTCTCTGCCATATCCCTTTGTTCCTTCCCTTCTCTCTCTCCTTCATTCACCCTCTCTCACATTCCTTACCCCATCATCTTTCCCACCTTGCAATCTCTCTCTCACACCCCTGCCCTTTCATCTCTTCCTACTTAATTTTCTCCCCCTTCCTTTTCCATAACACTTTCCTCTCCCTTTCCATCCTGCTTTTCTATCTTTTTCTTCCCCCTGCAGATGAGCCAGAAGTCACTATTGAGGGCTTTGATGGCAACTGGTTTCTCAACCGGAAGGATGTGAAGCTGATATGCAAATCTGATGCCAATCCCCCAGCTCACACCTATGAATGGAAGCTGTAAGTGCCTACAATGCTTCTGCTCTCAGTAGCATATACAATGTTTGAACAGGGCCAAGGAGCCTCTTTAGAAACCTTGGTCACCCTCAGGTCAGTCAGGGCCTGGTCCCATTACTGTCAGTGGTGTCACTGCAAGGAAAAACCCATGCATGTGAGGGGAGAGTTGGACACTTGTAGTTGCTGGAGCTGTGCTCCTGCAGAATGCTCAGAGCTGATTCTGGTCCCCTGGCACACCTGACAGGAGGCCCTCATTGCACGGGGACTGGAGCTAATTTATTTATTTGTGAACCAGGGAATCTGTTGTCTTCAGCCTTGGTCTTTCTGTCTCACCCCCTCTTCTGCTGGCCACCCTCTGACATTAAGCTCGTCAGATCCAAAACAAGGCTTTCAGCTGGGTGTTCCCCCAGCATCTTCCAGCTCAGACTGAGAAGGGAAGGGCAGTGGGTAAGGATCATACACACCCTGTGTCCGCTGGGCTGGGATGGAGCTTGCTACCATCACAGTGCAGCCTCAATATCCAGGATAACTTCCTATTCCCACTCCATTGGAATGATATTCTGCCCTGGTGACAAGTGAAGTAGCTGAGATACGACAGGGTGAATTTGCCCAGCACCATGAAGTGCTTCAGTAGCAGAGCTGGCAAAGAACCCAGGATTTCCTTTCCTTAAAGGGGCACAAATAGCACATTTGTCTGCATGTGAAAAAACCTTTCCCTGGAATCAGCCCCAGCTGTAAGCAGGAGCTCCCCTTCGGAACACTCATCCCCATGCAACTGACATTAAACAGAAGCAATTCCTTGTCCTCCAGGGTTTCAGCTTTTGGCTGAGCACACTAAAGGGACTGAAAAGTGAGCGAGGGGTGTCTGGGGAGTCAGATAGGAATTGATGCAACCTGAGGTGGTTCTCTCTCCCTCTCTTTTCTTTTCTGTAAGCACTCATGTAGCTTTAAAAAAGAAAGATCAAATGGATCCTTTCTTCTTTTCAGCTAGCATTTGTCATCAGGAAAGAGGCTCTCAAAATGGCTTTGCAAGGAGCTAGACATACTCTCTGTCATTTCGCTTCCCAGATCAAACTGTTCACAGTGAAAGTCTGAAGAGGATTGTTTTTCTTGCCTTTTTTTCTAGTTCTCATCCCCAGCGCTCTCCCTCTGTTGGTTCTGCCAGTTCAACGTAAGATCCGAGGGGGCACTCTGGGTTCCTCACAACATCGCCGGGGAAGTGTTAGAGGCAAAGATGCCCCTTGTGGCACCCAAGGCAGAAGAGATGCCAGTTCAGGCTATCTCTTTGTAGCAGGGCTGGAGAATTGAGCTCAAGCGAGCCCTGTGAGATGCAGCTGGGGACTGGAGGCAGGTTTTCTCCCTGCTTTTGGGCAAGTCATTTCATCCTTTCTTCCGCTATTGCTCACATGCGGGCCTGGAGGCAGAGCCCTTGCTGGGCTCCTGGGCATCAGGCTCTCCGTGGCAGGAGCGCTGTCGCTGTGTGTACAGACACAGCCAGCAGCACAAGCAGCCCTTGATCTCTGCTGGGGCAGTCTGCTCCCGCTGTGATAGTGTTGCTGAAGGGAGGCTGAGTGCTGAAGCACAGGGTAACCAGGTGCAAAACATCTCAGCCAGGTGATGTTTCTGTAGCCCAGAGCAAGAAAGAGAGTTCGTTACCAACTAGGCTCAGGCTCAGCAGGGGATGCAGGCATCAGGGCTGAGCATGATGCTGCATGACTGGGTGAGTATCATGTGTTATTTGCACACCTGGTTTACACACTACACTGGTAATAAATTCAGCTCTGGCAGAAACCATTCTTGGGAAGGGCACATCTTTGAGCCAAGGCATTGAGTTGGTCCCTATATGCTTGTGTGATTGATCTTTCTGGTTTTGGTTTTTAAAACACTGGAAAGAGAAGTCTTCCTATGGATTCTCTGTGAGCTGTGTGTATCTCCATTTATCTGTCTTTAGCCTGCAAGCATTTCTTGACTTACAGCTGAGAGGCTGGGAGCATCAATACTTTGCTTTGAGAAGGAACTGAGGGGAGAAAAATGGGGAGAGAGGAAGGATGGAATTAGAGAGTACAGGTTTCTAAGCCTGATGGCACTTTAGTCTGATTCTCCAGCCTCTCCCTTTTTGTACACTTGGTAGGTCAGTTAGGACTGAGTATAGGATTATTGACCTGAGAGAGGGTGGAAAGGAAAGACAGAGTGCAGCTGATGGTAAGAAGAAGATGAAAGTAAGAGAGAGAGCGCAAGTGAGACTGGGGGAAATAGAGGTGGAAAGGGAGGAGGAAGAAAAAGCTGGGGCAGAGAGTTGCCTCCTGGCTTTTTCAGCCCTGCTCTCCCATTCTTGGCCCCAGGCTGCCTGTGAGCAGGGCCATGTGAGGAAGAGGCAGACCATGCAGACGGGATGACAAGCTGATAAATAACTGCAACCAACCACCTAGGCATGTGGTAGGTGTGTGTGTAGGGAGGTAAGGAATGGAGGTAAAATCCATAGCCATCCCCTTCCTTCCCACAGTGCCACTTTGGTGACATCTAACTGATTCCTCATTTCCTGGGCTGGGCAGCCACCAACATCTTCGGTTTATCCATGTGCTCATTTGTGCCTCTTCCCCTTCCTGGGGGTCAGGGGGTAATTACTGCTGCTGATGTTTTGCTCCTGCCTGGAATGTAAAAACCAGCGATGCTTTTGTCTCCTCGCATTTGGATGGTGATGAGCAACAGTCGCGGGAGCTGTTAGAGGAAGCAGTAGCCTTCTTTAGAATCCCACGGCACAGATTTTAGATGTGCCCTTGTCTTTGCAGAGTCAGGGCCCTAATTCACCCATCTGCAGAAGACCAAATTTAGGCTATTCTATTCTTCCATCAACTGCTGGAGCATTGGCTTGATGTAGCTGGGAAAGACTAATGTGTTTGCTATAGTTTGTGCCGATGTGTATATGTAGACATGCAAAATATGCGTGTGTGCATTTAGGCGCTTCTTTACAAACCTAATTAAACCCCCATTATTCCCTTTTGTTTCTTACAAATTGCTGACAATATGTGCACATTTTTGTTGGGAGGAGGGGAAAGAATAACTTGAGTAATTTTTAATTGCCTAAGAGAAGTAATTACTTTCTTTTGCTTCAGTAATTAAGAATAACCAGGCCATGAGTGTCTTTTCCTAACAGACAGGGGTTTAAAATTTTTTTTCTGCCTTTGTTCATTTATTCTGTGTATCTCTAGACTTAATTTTGCACTATTCCAGTTTCACACTTATCTGACTATTCTGACATGGGCAGGTCATAGCTAGCAGGACTCTAAATCAGCCCTGCTTTACTTGAGCTTGAGTTGCAATTAACACTGGCTGATCAGCTGCCCCGGGGAGTTACATAGGCAGGAAATTGAGGAAAAGCAGGGTCAGGTTGGCATGCCATTCCTGTGTTTTTCATCAAATGGAAAGTCGGGGATGGAGGAACACTCTGAAAACGAGCCTGCTAGAGGTGAGCCACCTGAAACAAAAGAGTGCCCTGGTCATCTCACCCTGAGCTGGTACCTGCTCAGGGATTGTGCTGGAAAATGAACCACTTCAAGGCTCTGAGTCTGTTTTCTGTATAGGGGAGAACATAGACTGAAAGTGCTCCACATCCCATTAGCCAAATCCAAGGCCAAATGTGTCCAATCTCCCCTGTAACCACGGAGAAGGGGAAAAAACCCCAATCCATGTGAAGAACCTGATTCTCATCATGCGGTGGATTTACCCTGGAGACACTGTGCTGACTCTTCCCTGTAATGCTGCTGTCTGAGGGTTTGTTTTTGAGGCTGACTGATGGGTATTTTCGAACCAGCACCATGGCGTTCTGGACCTGCCCAAGGGCAAGTGCAGAGCCAGCATGTCTGTGTCTGCTCTGCAGTACTGCTTGACCCTACTGAATATCATCTCCGGGGTCAACCATGATCTTTGTTTCCCCTAGGCCAAACGGGACTCTGCCAGGGAGCGTGGAAATCCAGAACAACACCATCTACTTTAAAGGGCCTGTCTCCTACAGCGTGGCTGGCACCTACATCTGTGAGGCCTCCAACGCCATCGGTACACGGTCGGGCTTGGTGGAAGTCAATGTCACAGGTAGGAAAACGCTTGGTGTGCTTTGAAAGACAGAAGAAGAGGGGGAGGTGGGGAGAGGGGAGTGTGAGTGGCTAACAACTACCAGTTGGTTCGTCCAATGTCTGTCTTAATCACTGGTGTCTCCTACTAGGGCTGGGGAGTTTCATGATGCAAAGGAGGTAGTGTAGTTCTTTGCTTTGTACTGGTTTTGCACTGGTTTAGCCTATATTTTTTTCTCCTTTCCTCTTGTTGTCTTTTCCTTTCTTCCATGAAGATACATTCAGTTTGTTTCCCCCTTGTCTTCTGCTTTGGAATCAGAGAGATCATTGGATGTGTTAAAAGTGAAGACATGTCAGGAGATATTTGTTAGAAGGTAGAAGGAGGAGTGGGATGAGGATATAGACTGCCACTGGGGCAGTAAAGCATGAGATGGATGAGTCATTTGGTCAGAATGATGTTTGGTGTTTCTGTTCTCATGATTTTTCATTTTAGCTCCTTCCAATGTCATGTTGGTCTGTGCACTTGCTCACCTGGCTGCCACAGATTACTGAGAGGCTGTGAACACTTGAGTAGCTTTGTCTGGGCTCCAGAAAGGAACAACATCCTGGGATACAATGGGAAGTGATGCTATGTGATGTCATGTAGGACAGAAGGAATTTGGTGACTTGTAAATCAGTGTAGCCACAGGAGTGAGGAAAAGATGTGGACATGCTTAGGTAATGTCAGGGAGAGAAAGTGCTATCAAGAAATAGATTAAACAGAAGAAATATCATATGGCAATAGCCTCATTTCAGAGAGACGAAGTGATATTGCAAGGCATCACCAAAGGGGAAAAGTGGCTGTTGGTGCTTTGTGGGCAGGGCAGGGAGGTTTACCCCATTCCTTTGGGGTGAAAGGAGCGATTGGTTTTATCACTACGTTAGTGACAGGCAGTGACCAGCAGTTGTGGGGCTCATGGTAGAGGTGGAAGTACCTCTTGCAGTAGTGAGTTGGAGCACTGCCATGCTGCAGCGAGCTCCGGGTTCTCGGGGGACAGGTGGGGGGTGACCATCTGCTGACACAGCACTGCGTGCCTGGGAGACATGCCTGGCAGCTGGGGCGACTTGCTGCCGGTCCCCTCTGGCCCCCCACGGCAGCACTGTGGGGCTCAGCACTGGTGTCCTTCGGGTGCTCCCCTACACCCCAGGTTGGGACCATTTGGGCAGGCAGCACAAACCGCAGCGCACAGCCACTTTTCCAGCTGGGCTCAAAGCAGGGACCGTGGGGCTGTGACTGCAGCCAGGTGAGCTGGGGAGCCGCCGGCTGCCTGCATCCTGCAATTCCACAGACTGCACAGGATTCTCTGAGCTGGGTGGGCCATGAGGCGCTCTGGGGTCTCCCCAAGGCATGGGAGGAGGTTCCTGAGCTTGTTAGTCCTTCCTGCTGTCCAGCCCGAGGCAAATCAGAGTGCCTGCTGTTCTGACAGCGGGCCACCTCTCTGAGCCACCCCCGTCCTTGAAGAGTTGTCTAACCCAAGAGTGATGAAACTGCTTCTCAGAGGGCCCAAGCTCCAGCCCTCTCCACCCGCTCTCTAAAGTGAAAAGTGCTGAGCAAGCGTTAGAGCTGAAGGCCGGGCAGCTGACCTCCTGAAATTAGCACTAACGCTGTGTTTGGCACCCTCACCACCTCAGTTCCCTTTTTCTGTAACATGGGTAAACCAGGCTAATCTTCCCTCTATCCAAGTGCTTGGAGGTCAATGGATGGGGTGTGCTAATTAGATGCTAATTACCAAGTATTTATTTATGATGGTTATCACTGTAGCAGGCCTTTAATTCACACCTCCTGTCCTGGATCCTTGCCTGCTGAGTTGTTGCTGGTGTATGCTTTTCTCTGGAGGGATTTTCCGTTTGCCAGTGAGAGGCACCAGAACAACAAAGCTCTTTGTTCAGGACAGACACCCGCCCTGCTCAGCCCTGCTCAACCGCCCGAAGCCCGGGGAAGGTCATGGCCAACATTTGTTCAGCCGTTGGCCATTTCACGGGAGTTGCCACCAAAGGCACTTTGATTCTGGGATGGAGCAGGCAACTGTCTGGTACAAACTGAGCAGACTCGCTTTGCCTCAGCAGTAGAAATCCATCCCCCAGGGTAACTAGCACCTTGGGTCACATTTGAAACAGTGATCGGAGGGAAAAGCCACGCTCAGTTCCCAGTTGCAGAGAAGGAAGTGGGATAGGTATTGCAGAAGACTTGGAGAGGAACAGGCTGTCTTGACCATGTCTCGTTTTCCATTTCTGCATAGTCTGTATGTCCACTTCCTGCTGTCGTTCTGTCTATCCAACCACCCCGTATCTCTTGCGCTGTCAGGACACGTGTTCCCAAACACCAGATACAGCCCTCTCTTCACATTTCCTGCTGCCACTTGCCAGCATTTTATGTCTCAGTGCCACAAGAGCGGCACAGACCCACCTACACAGGCTCCTCCAGGGACGAGGGTCTGTGGGTTCCCCCTCTGGTTTTCGGGAAATGTTTCCCCTTCAGGCGGTTTTTCAGGGGACTGAGAGCATCATTCTCATGCTCCATGAGTGCAGTGCTGCAAGGGAAGTGGACAGTGGCAGGATTTCTGGGATGGGACTTTGGATTGATGTCTGCCTGCCTGTAATCTCAGTTTATTCTCAAAGGTCTGAATTGTGATGTTGAGGTTAAATGAGAGAGAAGGAGGGGCAAACCAGCAGCTGCCCTGCTCAGGGGAATTAGCAGCCAACCTGCTAGGCCAGGACTCCACCACATTAAAAAACCGGTTTTAATAATTCATGGCATCTGAATATGTTTATCCAGCTCTCCCTAAGGACCGATTAGGCCACTGCTAGGGAGGGCTCAGCCGTCCTCGCTCAGCTATTACAGGTACATTTGTTTGGGTCTTGCAGGCAATTTAGGGATTGTCAGTGGACCACAAAACCTCTTTCAAGAGCTGCATGCAATAAATGGAGTTCAATCTAGTGAGCAGCCAGCCTTGGGAGGAAAAAAAAACAGAAGGCTGATGCAGAGAAAACCCTGCAGCGTCTTTCCCCCTCCCATCTCCCCGGGTAGAGACCTTCCCCCTCCTGTCACCCAGCATCCTTCCTCCCAGCCTCAGAGAGGAGGAGTGCAGGGCTAGTCAGCCCCCTCATGGGGAGGATGATTTGTTCAGGGGGAGAAGGCTGAACGCTATTAGAGTTATAGCACATTAAAAAGATTGATAAGTGGAAATTTACTATTTTATTCCTGCAATCTGTTCCTATAATAGCTTCTCCTGCCTTGCAGGACCTTTGTCAGTCGCAGCCAAGCCATGTAGTGTGACATGTAACTATTTATTACAGGCGGTTGGGTGACATAATAAAAGGTTGTGGTTATAGACTGCCTGGGCCTGCATGCGTGTCCCTGCATGGCTGCACATGGGTGTGGTGGTCCTGTACATAACACACATGTGTGACACCGATCTGCGTCCTGGCACGCAAATGGGCCCCCCCAAACCTGCATGACTGCACAGGGATGCTCTGCTGCACAGTCATGTGTGCGTGCAGGACTCAAGAGCATCAGTGCTTTGGCATGGGGGAATATGCATGTATTTATGAAGATGTGCTTGGCTGTACGGGCTTGTTGGTGTGCAGCAGTGCGTATACATACCCTGGTCCTTGTGCGTGCGTGTACATCTACATTCGTGTGTGCATGCAGGGGGGCATTTATGCACTTCTGTGCTGGCTTCAGCCAGAGGAAGCCCAAGGGGAAAGGTGTTAAAACATCTTCTCTCCCCACAGGCCTTCCAGCACCAGGGAAACATAAAAATCAAAGGAAAATCACAGTTTCCCATGCAGGGAAGGTGGCTTTGCAGCCATGGCCTTGTATCTGTGGCAGGCTGTTGGGGGAGGAGAGGCTGGCAGGGGCTGATGGCCCCCCTGTTTGCTTGGCTTCCAGCCAGGAGTTATTTACACACCACCAGTGATCTGGTCCCAGCAAGGTCGCTGCAAAAAGCCTGTGGAGCTGGCTGGAGCCCTCTGCCGCGCAGCAGCAGGCCTTTGCTGTGGGCTCGGAGCGCAGGAGAGAGCCCTTCTAGGGAAGCGTTAAATCCTGAGCGCAGAGCAGGTGCGCCCAAAGCCCAGCCACCGCCAGCCAGGCCATGCCATGCTGCACCAGCAAGTGCTTGTGGCTGCTTTAGGTGGGAGGACCTCCGGGGGCTAAAGAGGTGTGATCCTGAGGGTCCGTCTGACGCTAATCTGCCGGATGGCGGGCAGGAGCGTCTGCTGCATCCTGTCTGATGGCATCTGTGCCAGTGGCCCCTGTGGGAGCAGCGCTTGATTGACAAGCAGTAGGTGACCTGACAGGGAGATTAAACCTAAGACACGTTTGGCATCTGGCCTAAAAGCCGTCACACTCTGAAATGCTGGTGGCAGCTGCTAAACTTCTGGATTAGTTGCCAGTGGTTTTTCCGCCCCCACTGCCTCCTCTCCCCTCGCCTTGCCCCACATGAGGAGAGCAGAAATCCCTTGTAGGGAGAGGAAGGGCAGGATCCCTTGAAGTCAGATGGGCATGCATAGGTGCAAGGGCTGTTGCGGAGGAAAAAGGACAGCAGTGCTACTGGCTTCTCAAATTGCAGCTCCATCGGGGCTGAGGTATCTCCCTATCTTCACTCGTGTACACATCTGGAACACAGCAAGCATGTCAAAGTCCTGGATAATCTGTTGTGGGCTGTACTGGCAGGGAATGTTTGCCATGAGCAATCTGTCTTGTAAAAAACCCCATGTGATCACCACTGTATTTGCTGAGGCCACCTGGGAACTGGGAAGCTCCATGGGCCCATCGACTCTGAGGTCGCTGCTGCTTACTCTGGCTAGAGCCAGCCAAAGGCCCTCCTGCTTCCCATTGCAGCGGGCGTTTGATTTTTGCAGAAGGAAATCCAGGGCCTTCCTCTGGAGGAGCTCCATGCAAGGAGCAGCTTGGGCTGACACATGTCCAAAAGGTAATTTCTCATGGAGTTTGACATTTTCCTCAATGCCCATGGCTACAGTGAGAATCTTGGCTGGTGCTGGGCTTTTCCTTGGCCCTTATGATTGAAGGGAAAAGGATGGAAATGTGACTTCAAGAAAAAATGTGTCCACAGGAAGAAGTATCTTTTAAAATATCTAAGCAGTGTGATAAGCAGAAGGGCTTTTGATAGCTGTGGATCTGCATATCACAGAAGAATTACTTGGTGTCTAAAAATACGCTTTTTTCTGATCTGGGCCTTTGCTGCCCTTGGGAGCAGCCTCTTGTCCCTGTGGGTTCTCTGATGTCTAATGAGGTTTAGCTCCCACCTCTGCCAAGGATCCCACTCCAGCTCTCTCCAAGGGCTTTATGATAGGGATAATTTTGGCGCATTCTTCTTCCGTCAGATACCACTAAAATTGGCCAGCAGGTTCAAAAAGCATTAGATAAGGGATTGATGGACAGGCAGGATGATTTGCATACGTCTTCTTTTTACTGAAAACCAGCTATTAAAAGAAAGATGTGAGCTTAAAAATGTGTACTTTTGAAGCCACTTTTGTGAGGGGGAAGGCCCGGTTTGTCGCTGCGGTGGCAGCACTGCTACATCCCTGGGTGCTGCAGGGAGAAGGCGGAAGCTGGGGCAGGGGGGGATCGAAGAGAACCCATGGGCTCAGCTGGGTGCCAGAGCATCCCAGGGCGACCCCCCCGTGTCCCTGCACTGCCAGCTGCTGCCCCAGAGGTCCGGCTCCTGGCACGGGGACAGGAAGCTGGGCTGAATGCAACAGCTGGCAGAGCCAGGCAGCGGGCAGATAGGGTTGCTGCTGTAATTCCTATTCATACAGCACTCCCTCTTTTTATGAGGGCTGGGGGGTAGCAGAAGAGGGAGAGGCTTTTTATGCTGGCATTAAAGCCTAGCTTGTTCCCCCTCCGTCCACTCTGCTGTCTCCTGTTTCTCCAGTCCGCTTTTCACAGCAGCTTTAATTCTCTCCAGACTCTTCCTAATGGATTTTTCACGTGGGGCCCCCAGCACGCTCAGGCATCGCACCGCTTTCCAGAGATTTCACGCACCCCTCGAACACAAAAAGGGGATCCTTTTCCCACACTCTCTCCCCAGGCTGCAGTTCCGCTCTCTTTTGCACCCCAGACACGAAACTGGGTGGGCAAAGGGGTAAGTCCCCCCTTTCGTGGGGCTGGCAGCAGTAGGTGCGCTGGAGGACACCTGCTGAGAGCTGGACCTGTCCCGAGTCATTAAT